CTTTTAGCAACCTTTAAAAAGAAATAACATGTGACAGACATAACACTAATGCGAGGAGTAAAAATAAACTATCTGTTCTTGATAGTCGTCTTAACATAGTTAATTTTTTAAAGTCCAAATTCACTTGAAGGGTTATGTATACGCCTTCATACTCGTATAAATATAATAAGGTAATTTACCATTCACGGGGTTTTATACAGCTTCTGAGTACTAGGATGACAAAAATCCGTGTGGGTGAACCATTTAGCTGTTGCAGGTTGTTTCGATCTATGGTATTTGAAATAAAAATTGTAAACGATAAATGTGTACAAACGTTCATTTACAAAGAACAGTGGCATATAGTGGAACATAGCCTTGACCTTCTCCTTACAAAAGACCCGTGCCCACTGTTGGGATCTAATACTTTAGAAACTTTTGCAGGAATGGAAGCAACACCTCACAAAAGTTTTATAGCAATCAGATAAATAATTATAGAATGTATACGGGGCAAATATTGATGCATTTATTTCAACGTAATATAAGGGTAAAGGTGCTGGTGAAATTATAGGCACATGGGACTTGCCAACTTATGCCTCAGGGTGACGGGCGCAGTGACAATGCTCCTAAGATCTTTGTGATTTCATGTTTTGATAGGCACTGCAACGGTTAAGGACAGGTGTTGACGCGCACGACTTGCTCGTTTCGTCATTTGATATCACAAAAGAAACACGTTAATAATGATATAAAATAGTGTCTGAAAACAAAACTTTGGGTGTGTCTAGTTACTTCTTATTTCCAATACAAATACCGAAATGAAATTCGAGTATCTTCAAAGGTATGAAAGTACTACAAATTTGTACGGCGGAAAACTTTCAAGTAAATTTTCAGTAAATGCGAAACAATTATTTTCAACAGACTTAGGACTAAAATTTTTGTTATATTTTGCACGCTTTATGATTACATTATATAGTAGTATACTTATGTAAGTAATATAATATCAAACTTTGTCGTAGCATAATAAATATAGAGTGAGAGTTAGGAGCTGGTATTGACAGCAATTTGATTGATTGTGTGGGACGGAAAAAAGAAATTCATTCTTGTAAAAGTGAAAATGGAGAATGCCTTTTGGGAATTTTTATTTTACCATATAAAATTGGAAAAATGTGATCTTTGTTTTGTGTATCTTTGTTCCAGATATTTATTTTTTAACATTACAGAGTCCAACTTTTTGTTTACGTCTTTCTGAGTAGGGTTAATGGAGTTACAAAGTAAAACTTTCTCATTTTACCTGAACTCAATCTCAGACAACTATGAAAATTTTAAAAGTACAAGAATACATCGCATTTTTGTCCTTATCTAATATTGAATATAATACACAATATCATTATGACTTGTTGTAAAAAAGTCTCTTTAGAAAGGAAAGACTTCCCAGAACCGAAATTTCGGTCAGGTAAATTAACGATCGTAAGCCACCTAGATTTATCGCTTCGTCACTGACGAGAAACGTATTTATATAACAGAAAAGAAAGAAGAAAGTATTACAGTGTGAAAGATGACGTGGTGACCAGGATCTTTGATGAGATGCTTGATGGTTTGGTCATGTAGAAAGTATGTTAATAGATTGAAGACACAAATTTATAGAGAGAATATCGACGGAAACGTAGAGAGAAGTAGACCTCGAACATGTCTCGATCAGATTGAGAATATCCTAAGGGCATATATGAAGAGGAGGCGAAAGACTATGAGTTACTCATACATAACCGCTCACGCGATACATGCAGCCGTAGACGCATACCACACCTAGAGGTGCCGGTGATGATTTTATACCGATTTATCGGATATCGAAGTTATAACAGGTAAAAGAACTAATATTAATTGCTATTTCGGTAACTACTCTAGCAAACCATAAAGTTTTTAATGCCTGGGTCTGTCATTTAAAAAAATAAACAACTTCAAAAATACGTCACGACAATCGTGTGAATTATTGTTTGGGCTTGATATTTCGGTGTTTATTTATTGAAAACATATCGTAAGTAGCGATTTTTAAGTTTACCCTGAATATAAATGTTTATAAACTATACTTCAAGGAGTAATAAACGTTATAATAAACATAATAAACGTTAGAACCACTCAAACGGAATATTATCATATTTATTCAAGTACACCAAAAATTTCATTAGGGCTTTTTAAGTGCAGGATTGGCGGTGTATTACTGCATTTTATTTGAGATGTTTTTGTTGGTAGTACGGAGGGTATTTATTTAGCAATGCAGAATAATAATTTTTATTTATAAAAACTTGTATTTAAACTGAATGCTTTTCTAATTTGCGAAACCAAATTGCCGCCATTTTGCGGTACGAGGAGCGCATCGCGTGAGCGGATATACTTCACGCCTTTTCCCCATAGGGATATTCCGAGGCAACAGGAGGGGACCCTTGCTACGATTCTGACACGTATCTTACCTTTGACCTGGCCTTCCTTTAGGACGTCTTCAATTTGGTCATGGTAAGTTCGCGTTGGTCGGTTGTTACTGACCTACATGAGTTACTCACCTGTGGCAAATTGGCACACAACTATATGCGTGAGAAAGAACACGCCCGCACTCCACATAGCGCCAGAACGAGGCAAAGCCCCACCCGAGGCTTCATAATCTGAAACAAGTAGATTCCGTTAAATAAAACTCTTTAGTAGGCAGGATATTCACTACCACTGAAGGTGCAATGGTTCCTTAGACGGTTCTTTGTAGGGAGTCACTAAACGTATTAATGCGGAATAGTCTTTAAGTGTTTAACCACACTGATTATTTTTAACTGCATCCGTGACCGAACGGTTACCATGCTGATCTGTCACGCAGAGCTGCTCACGTGAGTTTGGATGTAATTTGTGGTTCCCGTGACACAGGATTTCCCTACTGCGGAGCTATGAGCGTTATGTTACTTGTCGCCGATTCGCCGTTAGTGTCAATGTCAAATATGAAACGTCATTCGTATCATGCGTCTTTTAATGTTGATGTCGGACGGAAAACAGTAGTATACTCCCAGGTTCATCGCCAATATGTCGAGACACGTTGGTACGAATCAATGCGATTCTGTGTTAATAAGTGTGGCAACTCCTTTAAGAGTCTTAGGCAATAGTTTACCACCAAAGTCCAATGACAAGACATTCCATTAATAATTAAATTATCACAAAACTTCTTGAAGATCTATATCGAAGTTTGAACTTGTAATCTAGTGCTTACAAACACTATTTCTGTTGTTAGAAAAGAGACAATCAGAACGTCTTCGAACACCATTGTCAGCGTATATTTCTAGGATAACAGATGAATACCAGAAAATTATTGTGTAATAATTATTAATACAAGGATTAAACACAAAGAAAAATTCCTTTGATCTGACAAGAATCGAATCTGCGTCTGTTTTGCTGAGCTACAGATCGAGTAGGCTTTACGAATTTTTCTATGCGTTTATTACAGATCTATGTTTTACAATTTGTCTGTTTTGCAGTAGCGTCACCTGTGAGAAATCTTTGAAAGTTTTCCTTCGCTCAACGGGGTAATTTCACAACAATTAATTTTATAAATTATTGTGTGTGCTATGACTCGAATGAAGTCATAACGGTTTATAGTAACTGTATCGTTATTTCAACATTCCTACCGGCGCAAAAATACGAATACACTAAACATCCTCGATCGTCATCAACAGCGTATGCTACTTTACAAACACAACGATTATATCAACAAGTACAACCATTGCTACAACAATTTTATGTAATGAGTTTAATCATGTTGTCATTGATTCAATTAGAAATTTGTCGAATAAACTAAAAAATCTATTTGATTGAAAACCATTTCTTTCATTACATCATAAGAGACGTGTTGGGTTAAATTTATGTGTTTTTCATCTGTAATACGGAGTTGTCTGGCACACCCTGGGTAACAATAGTCGAGTACGTTATGCCGATTGGAAAATGATTTCACGACACGATAAGAAGATCTGTGATACAAAAGAAATGTTCTAGAACATCATCCACAGCTTATAATTCCTAACGGCTTTATAATTTTTCACGTCGTTATTCATTGCATCGATATTCATGGCAGCGGCCGCATGTGGATTTGACCGACTGCTCAATTTGTACGCAGCCTCATTTCACGTCACCTCAAAACACTCAGTTGAAACCAATCGAAATATTTGTTTTAATTTTACATTTGATTATAGGAGAAGGCATTTTAGTGAATAAATTTATTGTGAGGCTGTCGGAGTAAATGGTGTCAAATTTTCCATCTCTCATTTATTGGTTTTTAACCAAGAGGTTATACGTTCGGCTGTGTTTTTTGTAAGTATGTTTTCAGATATCTTCGTCAATTGTGGACCGATTTTGAAAAATTCAAAATCCTTTTTTGTTTGGACGGGTGCATTTTCGTGGTGGTCCCTTTGGCGCCAAGTCAGAATCCGATGAGGGGGTCGTTGGTGAATACACGTCCGTGCATTCGCCAATTTCTCCATGAATTGCGTACCGATTTTGAAAGTCTTTTGTTTGAAAGGGTATTCCCTTGAGCTGGTCAATTATGCAGTTCTGAGTTCGTTTTGGCTATCACAAATTATCACTAATTATTTTCCGCAAATAATAGTTGACTTTTCACTTGACACGATATGTATAATCAACAAATCGCCGTCATCAGGACTACCAGGAAAGAAAATATAAGATATACAAAGGAGTCCGTAACAGTCCAGTCAAAACGAAAACAGCCGATAATCAAACTTTTGAGGTCAGTTTGTTTTTAATGAAAAAGTTACATTTATTTATTTGCATTGATGAAATTTTAAATGTTCTTGTGAGCTATGTTGGGGAACTAATCTGCCCTCTTTATAATAACTAACGTAATCGCCATTTTTAGCCAAATTGAGTTACCTGGTACCAGCGAAACGAGATCTACAAACCCATATAATCGTTTTTGTTTCAGTTTTATTGTTATTAAGTTCGTTGTGATAAAAATTACCAAAAAAAAATTTGATATCATTATCTCGAAACTTACCGACATACAAATGCATTATTTATGACAAGGAGGGTGAAAATGAGGAGTTAGTAACGCCAAAGCCATTTACAGTTCACTTAAGAACAGAAACAAAGTAAGTGATGTGGACGAGCACTAAAAATACATAAAACAATGATAAATCAAAGAAAAAGCGCCAAGAACAAGTACTTTTAAATTAAGAATTTCAATTTGAAACCAAACTGTCAAACAAGACTACATAATATCATGGTAATAAACTCAAGGGGACTGCTAACCACAATACAAAACAGCGTTATCGGATATTTAGTACTTATTGGTGCACCAGAAGTCGCGACGAATACCGAATGGCTATTTTTCTAAAAATTTTTTCTATTTAAATTAAAAATTATTTCAAATGTTATTATGCAAAGTGAAAATAGATTATTTGTTGGTATATATATTTCACCAGTTCGGTAGGTAGATAACCAACGTCCATTCTTTCTAGATGACCAAACTAGCAGAGCATCTCCCTCTCTTTCTTTTGTTTTAAAATAAAATGAAAAATTTCTATTGGACTTATTAAATTCCTAATTAACAGAAAACAACATACATTTTGCAACGTCTTCATTGTGGAAATTTCAATCTGAGAAAGCAAATAAGCAACACAAACAATAAACAGTGAAATGAAATGTCTGTGTCATTTTCGTTGTTTTAATCAAACATGTTCTGCATAAGGAACACGTTTAACACGCCCATTTGCGTAGAGGAAATTTTTATAAAGATATAAAATCATACTATACAAAACAAACTTGGCAAAAATTTTAGTAACTGGTGTAATAGATGAAGACGTAAAACTATGATTGGGGTTTGCAACAGCACAGCAGTCAAGCTATATTACTGTACTCATCGCATACAAGCGGGTTGGTAGGTGGTTCTTTCGTTGTGACCCTTTTAAGAAGAGAAGTATGGAAAGGAATGTCTGGAGAAAGACGGATCGGCAGCTAAAAGAAGTGCTGAACAACTGAACTATACTACACTGATCTTAGAGTTGGTTTCGTGCTCGTATGATGTCCTTAGCAGCGCTCTTCCTCAACTTCCACCAGTTGCGATGATGATAACTTGATTTATTACCGAACAGTGTTTAAGTACAGTACAATACCACAGTAAAACAGAAGCGATATTTCACACACAGCGAAATAGAACTACGCAGAGTGCATTAAGTCTACGTCGATGGATGGTTCAAGGCGGACGCATGTTACCCACGATAGTTAGTCGTAGATTATCCCAACTACGAACAGTCTTCAGTTGCAGCAGGGTAAAAAGAACAGCAATATGAATGTTAAAATAAATGAGGGTAGGTGGTGAACTACACCTAAGTGCCGTCTACCTTGGTATCGATGCGAACAGTGTTTATGTTATGTAATGCAGCATCTTATGCGTTTCTAAACAAGAGACCGGTGTCAATTTTAGCGTAATGCGTAAATTGTCCAGAGTTTGCAAAGTTACTTGGTTTTCAAAGTATGTTTTGCAGTAACGTGTTACATAGCAAACGTAAAAACGCAAACGTAGCAACACGGGTTGTATGTGTGAACGCCCTTCTCGCGCCGTGTACGGACGCATATGTTCGTATAATCTTGCTGTGCGCTCGTACAGCGCGGGTCGCATGCGTTATTTATTATACCTTTAGAATTGAAGCGTTCGCTTGGTGTTTAAAGAACGAAAGAAGATATATCTTCCCTGGCCAGCAGATTAAGCTCCGCTGCATACGCAGTAGTTTACTTTAGTTACTTCCGTAATATAATGTCCTACGGGATTCTCATGTGGGGTAAAGCGGCAGATATTCAAACCATATTTGTATTGCAAAAACGAGCGATTCGTTCTGTGTACCGTCTAGGCTCTCGGGTTTCTCTCAGAGAAAAGTTTAAGGAGACTGGTATCATGAGTGTGGCATCACAGTACATTTACGCAAATATTTTATATGCCCGTAAAAATATACATAATTTCAATAAGAAAGAAGATATCCATAATATTAACTTTAGAGCTAAGTCCAAACCCATGGTACCACGATTTCGTTTAACCTAGGTAAACAACTCTTTTATTGGGAACTGTATACGTTTTTACAATAAGATTGGAATCTTATATTAAGTTTGTCATTTCCTATCATATTATAAAATTGAAGACTACGTGTTAGATAAAGATGTATGGAAAGACGACATGGCTCCAGAATCCACACAAATTTGATTCAAAGTGTATTCCATAGCATTTAAGTTTATTTGAAAAGAGCAATCCCTAGAGTTTCTTGCTCGTTCTTCTCAGAGAGGTCAGCGTAGCGAACGAGCATTAGCCTTTTACCTATGGAATAAATAATTTTTGACTTTGACTTTGACTTTGACTTTGACTTTGACTTTGACTTTGA